ATGCTGCGTGCAAAGCACAACATTTTGCCAAATCTACTCTTTCACCTGTATGTGGTTACACACTACTTCTATATTTATTAATTCACTCTGGAGAAATGTACAACCTGAATTATCTCATAACACTCAAACACATCTTCTGCCCCCACACAACACACACACATAAAATCACAAAACACAGGGTTCATTCCAATCCAGGCGCTGTCTAGATCAAGTCTCTCACATACTTTTAAGTCTTCCCATTACCACTAATACCAGTTTAAATTCAAAATTATTTGTTTCAGGATCATGAATGAAGATTAGGTGTTGGTTGCCACAGGTATCATATCCTCTACTTGCCATACTCTAAATTAGAAAACACAGAGTTTAGAATTTAGCCAAAAATCCACAACTTACAAACAAAAAAATCTAGCCCTGTTTAACAGAGTATACATGTTTGTGGAAGAAGATGCTCAAGGTCAAAGTCCATAATCACATGTGAGTTTTGAGTGCCTCTCGTGAACAAAACCTAAGACCTATCAACCCATGTGATCTCAGATAAAAGTAATTGAGCACGCAATCATTAACAAGCTTGACTCAAAAGTAACAGAATAATTATTCATCTCTTAAGAGATGAGGAACTGCTTCACACATTAAATAAAAAGTGTCTGCAGTTACAGAATAGCTCACAGAAAATTACATTCTTTGAATCCATTTCGTAAGACCTTCATCACTCTAATTCCTACATACATCCATGACCCTATGACACTTCAGCTTTGCAGCTTGGAATTTGAAATCCAAATTCAAGACAGTGTAGACAGAAGTCACTATCTCACTGGTCAGAGACACTTCTGTCAACCTTTATAATGCTGAGAAGCACTCAGCCCAAAGAAAATACAACTACTTAAGACAGTTAAGTCAGTTTCTCTGCAAAACAGAGGTTGGCAACCAACTTTGTGGTTGAAAATGAGACCTAAATAGTGCAACCACATAGGGATTACACTGTCAAATAAACTGCAGTCTGGCTGTGTTTCTGTGACAGAGGAAGGTCTTTGGTTAGAGGTATCTTAAGTCTTGAGCACTGTGCCCAGTTCCAGGTCCTTCACTAAGTAAGGCATTCTTACTTTTTCTTGTGCAACACAGCACATGTTTTACAAGAAAGCTTTTAATAAAACATAACAGAGAATGCTAGTGGTCTACAAGAGAAGTGTTAGCAGCGACACTGAGGGGAAGATTGTCAGCTTTCTTAAAACTGTGAAAAAAAGATGAGAGGTCCAAAAGGCAACAGTATAAGGTTGTACAAACTATAGCCTAGACTGTGGTTTTTGCAGTCTACGCCTTTTACACTACATACCTGGAGACGCTGATAATTTGAAGAACAAAAAGTAAGAATAAGCAATTAAGATAAAGTTACAATACTCTTATCTACAAGTTAGGTGTTACTTATAATACATCAACAGTTATCTCAGAATAGTAACCAAAAAAAAACAAACAAATTTTTAAAAGTACTTCTGCCTAAAGGACATTTTTCTTTTCATCATGAATTGATTTACAGAACATGCAGAGCAAAGATAAACAAAGTTAATAGTTTTATGCCAAAACACCACTCCAGTCTCCTCATTTTGACCTTGTCCAAGGTTATCTTCTCACACCTGTAGTAACAGGCCAAGATTTTTCCTTTACCACATACCTAGGTATTACAAATAATTGAAACACCTAGCTTTACCCAGGACTTTGAAACTACCTGTTCTCAAACAACCACCATCTCCTCCACTGCAAGACGAGGGCCTTGAGCTGAAGCCAACTGTTGCATGCATCAGGATTGCAGTAGCAATACAAGTGCGTGCCTGAAAAAGCAGCTAGTAGAATCCAATTTACAACTTCACCTTCACAAATGCAATGCCAGCTACTTACTTTCTGAACTGTTAAGTCTTGTAAAAATAAGATTTTTACACAAGTGCACTGGAGTATTCTGTAGGTGTTAACTCAGGGCATATCAATCTCTTTCAGTGGTAGCACACAAACATACTAATAAGGTTGTGAATTTTCAAGTAAGAAATGGAAAAGCTTTTATATTTGTAGCAACCATCAAGATGTCTAGGAGAATATAACGAATACTCTTATCTTCTGCAAGTGGTATTTGTGAAGCCGAGAAGCTAAATCGATACAACCTAGTTGAAATGCCATTTAATCAGTGACACATTATTGTTCTTGCTATTAGATGAGAATTTTCCATATGCAAAATATTCTCCATATGTGTATGTCCATGCTCAAGCTGCAGCTTGCAAAGGCAAGATGGTGCTCTCCTGAAACATAAATGTAATTCAAAAGTGTTTGCTAACAGTAAAAAACATTATACAGGATGGTCAAGAAAAAAAAAGTGAGCTCACTGTGCAAAGTCTTAAAATGAATGCTTCCTGTAAAAAGACTACTTCCACAAAATATCTATAGTCAGAATGATATCTTATATAGTTGACAACCTGAAGCAGTTCAAATCTTACAACTGTAAAATCAGAGATTCATACGGCTAATTTGGGGAAGAAAAACTATGCCAAGAAACCTCTTCAAAATTAGGATTCTTTTTTCTTTTTTTTATGGCCAAGTTTTCCCTGAATTTGTATTTTCCTGCACCTATCACTGTTTAGCAACACAGCAGAGATGACCAAAAGCTGCATAAAGTGGCTTGAAGAACATACACGGGATTCAAGACTACCACCAAACTGCTCACTTTCGTGGGTCTTTCCACCCAAAGGTCACTTCTCCTTTGACCAGTGTCTTTCCATATACTCAAAGGACAGCTGTAAACTGCTAGATGGAGGGAGCACGACTCCCTTGGAAACAAGGTGTTCTGTTTAAAACCGAAACTACATTACAGTCAGCCAATTCCATTTTATCTGACAGTCTTGCTTCTTTTTCTACTGATGCTCTCTAAGCACAAAGATTACAGCACTAGTCATCACCAGGCAAATCAAGTTACTGCTATAAAAATCCCATGACCAGAAGAACAGCATTTATAAAATTGCAGAATTATCATTATTAGTGAAGAAGCCAATACAGAATGTGCAGAAAACCAACATATACCCAACGTGCTATTAAATTATGAGAAATCTAGTTTAGAGAACTGATCTACTACAAGGGATAAAACAAGCTTATAGTATATTATTATTGTTAAAAGACTTTAAAAATCTAATTTACCCATACCTCCCTGATTAGCACAAGTAGGAACTATGGAAGCTCTCACTCTCCAAGAACATTTGCTTTACAAATAGCAGGCTTTGCCATTACAGAAATCACTCCAAGCATAAAAAGTGAAAAATCTTTAACAACTCTGCTGAACAATCTAAAACATCATGGCCTCACATGGTATTAGGACAATTGTGCACAGCTTAAAGATGTGAGCATAAATTGAAGTGAAACTACACAGATGAGGCCTGGCAGTCCCAACTTGGCAGAGCGCTGCCAATAAATTGTTTCAGTGACTTGATTTATAAGCCTCTTGATGCAAAAGGAACTGATGAACATTTCATTCTCCTGTTGCTTTGGAACAGGAGAATACAGATTCTAAACAACATAAAAGTAGACAACAATCTTTTCACTTTGCTTACGTCATGGAATCTCACACAAAGATTATTTGTCCACACTGCCAGCAACTAGCAAAGAAAACTGGACCTGATTTTTCAACCCCATCAGGCAACAGAAGCAAGCACTCAGTTTATTTAAATAAGGGCCTGCACTGAGAGGAAATGTTGTATTTGCTTGCAACTTTCCAAAAGTAGCTTCAAAAACAGAGCTAGATGATAGCACACATGCACTCCTACAAATGGCAGGAACTTCTCAAGACCTTTTGATTAACCTCTACAAAAAATAAAACAGAGAAAAAAAAAGAATGGAGGAAAAAAAAACTACACAGTTCCTTCCAGAATTCAAAAAATATATAATAAAAAAATACCTTAGTAGAATCAGCTGATTAAATATTTAAGTATTAGAGGAGTTAAAAGTCAGCCTTCACTCAAATACAACTCTAAAGTGTATTGGCTAAGCAAGACTTCCATCCTTTGAACAAGCACTATGTTGCCATAGTTCAAATGACACATTGACATTTATGTCCGTATAGAAGAAAAATATATGTATTAATGGCATATATAAAATAGGGTTTTATACCCACACTCACGTATCCCTATGGTACTCCACACATCTCATATCTGTAAGACAAGTACGTTAGAAGTAGAACCAAACAACCCCAATGTTTTAAATGGTAACTAAGCCCCTTACTACAAAATTCAGCAAACCTTTATAGTGGAGGGCCATTCATGAAATAGCCTCCACTATTTAAGCTACATATACACAACAAGCTTATGCCATGAGCAGCAATCACACTAGTCAATCCGTGCTCTTCTGCTCCTGTCGATACCACAAGTTCCTTTACCACGTCTTACACCGGGCACAGTAAGCTGCGTCTGTGCCGAAACATCTGTCAAGGAAAGTAACCCGAGGCAGGATTTTTCACAAGCCCAACACACTCGCGTGCTGCCACAGCACATCCCACAGCTGCCAGGTGACGCCGAGCTCTGAAAATGAACCAGCAACCATCAAAAAAAAAAAAAAGAAAAAAAAAAAAAATCCAGAGCGTTTGTCGAAGGTTTCTAGAGACAATCGAGACCACGGGTGGTTAAATTACGTGACATACAGCAGGCGAGTTTGAGAAGCGCAGAGACCGTGCGGTATCTTTATGAAAACACCCCTGAGGCCCGCGGCAACGGCTTGTCACTGGGAGAGGGGCAAAGAGGGGCCGTGACCACCGCGGGGGAGGAGGCTAAAAACGCGTCGGCGCGGTGACATATAAAGAAGCGTTTAGCTACAGAGACCAAAGGGGGGGGGGGGGGGTGTCACCAAACCGCCTCAGGAGGCCACAAACACCGGGGGGGTTGGAGGGGTGTAGGAGCTCACAGCGCCGAGCCGCCGCACCCTCGCTGCCAGGTTCCTCCCTCACAGCCCCCCCCCCCCCCCCGCGCTGCCCCGCTCACCATGGTGCCCGGTCCCGCCGCCGCCGCCGCCGCTCCAGCCGCCCGGCCCGGCCCCGCGCCCAGCACATAAATCCGCCGCCGCCGCCGCTCCCGCCCGGCGCACGCCTCTCCGCCGGAGGTCGCGCCAGGACCCCGCTGCCCCCGAGGCCCGCCTAGAGCTGTCCACCAACTGCCTGCGCGGGCAGGGCGGAGGACGCGAAGGACGCGGACCCCGCGGTGCGGACAGACAGCACTTCGGCGGCCAATCCCCACCACCACCACCACCACCACCCTCCGCGCCTGCCGTTACGCCCCCGGTTGCAACGGTTGATTAATTGCCGCCGCCGGCCCCTCCCGCGTGAGCCCAGACAGGCGCCGCGGAGGGCAGCCGGTGGAGGGCGGGGCGCCGGCCACGTGACGCGGGCTGTCGCCGCCAAGGCGCTGACTGACGGAGCGGAGGGGTCGGTGCCCACCGCGGGAGAGAAACGGGGCGGAGGGGACGGACAGACGGGCGGGGGATCAGCGGAGGGAGCGGGGCGACATTCGCGGGGGGGGGAGGAGGGTGTGTGTGGTGTGGTTCTACGGCTGCACATCGCGCATGCGCCATAGGCTCTTTCACCCCCCCCGGAGGTCTGGCAGCGCATCTACGCATGCGCAGAGCTGGGGGGGTTGTGAAGCCGGAAGGGGCAGCCGGAAGCGCCGCTTCCGCCCGGCGCCGGTAACGGCGGTCCCTGAGGGGCGCGGGGCTTTCCGAAAAGGTGTCACCCCCTCCTGAAGGGACCCTCTGTGGGCACCGGGGGCCCGCCGGTGTGCCGCGGGAAGGGCCGAGCAGCCGTTTGACCTGAGGGAAAAAGAACACGCTGTGTTGTAAATCCTGCCGCTTTGAACGCGCCGCCGCGGCCCGTCACGCGTGGACGGGGGGGCCGCAGCGCAAGGGTTCTGCCTCAGTGGGGAAATTGTGTTATCGTGGAGAATATTTATCGACGTCCGTTGGTATTTTGGCAAATTCAGCCTTTCGGCGAATCCCAAGAGTTCGCCGTGAATTTCCGATTCACAGCGAATCCAAATCACTCCACACGCAATTGCCTAGGAAAAAATAATTTAGTAACATTGTAACCACTGTCATGGAGACTTATAAACTCTGACATTCTGACATTTTTCATCATACCTTTAAAATACATAATGGCTAAGAGAAAAAAAAAAAAAAAGGCAAAACTCACTCAACATCACAATAATAATAGAGCAAACAGACTTCAAGGGAAATTCTCTCAGATACCAGAGATTATAGTATCAAGGACGAAGACAAGATGTTCTTGACCATTTAGTTTTAGTCAACGAGTCTTGCGCCTCCTGATTTGTTAACGCTAATTTGATGTTTGTGGCAAATGTAGCGTGGTGGAGAAGAACACTGCCGAGTTAAGACACCAAATTCTAGAGGCATTCTGTTAACACCGTTAATCGTGTGTTTCTGGCATGCAGAGCATACTAAACTAAATTCTTAAGCAGTTAAAACTGACAAGCATTAATCCTGTTAGTGTACGAATAGTAAGAGAGCAACCAATTTGAGACATAGGTAACATTTCTGAATGTAAAAGTTTCAAAAGTGTGTGTCTTTGAAAGGAAATTCATAACTTACCTGGAACTCTTTGGCATGGGATTTCATCACTTGTTCATTTGGTGGCATTTTATGAAAAATAACTAGTCGAAATCAATAACAAGCAGAGCTATTTCATTAGCTGAAACAAGAATTGCATATTGGTTAGATTGAACTCTGACAGGCATGAGTTTAGAGCCCTAGCATTTTAGTTCTAGTATTGCTGACAGGGTGTTAACAGAAACAATACTGACACAAAAACAAGGCCAAAGATGTTGTAGTGCTATGCAAAAATGGATTTTTTTTTATTTATATGGGCTGAGTAGGACTTTTGCAGCGAGCAAGCTAAAGAAGGTTGTCGCAGCCATTACTAAGTGCTGTGGGTACAAACGCTCTCTCACCTGTGCTGGTGCTCTCCTAAACCCTCTCGTCTCACAGAGCAGGCAAGTTTTAAGAAACCCATCAGAGCAGACACGGCCTTGCTGCCCGTGCCACCTGGATACAAGGCTGGGTTAAGCAGAACATGTATGCCTTATTCTTCGGGAAACGGGCAAGGCTCCCCACAAATACCCAGTCATTTCTAGACTGCTGAATGTGGTCTCAGCAGCCTCTCTGTTCTCTTTATTCCACATGGCTAAACTTCATTTTCCTTCAGGTTACCATTTCCTCCCCCACACTAGGTATTCTTTGACATCCACAGGAAAAAAATCAACTTTTTGTGTAACATGCAACATAGTTGCTACCATGACTTAAACTTCACTTTAGGTCTAAGCAGAGGTAAGCTTCCCAGTTGTGGTTTCAACCCAGCTGATAGCCGAACACCACACAGCCATCCTTCTCCCTGGGATGTGGGGGAGAGAATTGGAGGGGTGAAGAGAGACTCATACGTTGAGATAAAAACAGTTTAATAATTTAAATAAAACAACAACAGTAATAGGAAGCACAAACAGGTAACACACAATGTGGTTGCTCACCACATGCCAATTGATACCCAGCCCGTTCCCAGCCAGCGATCCCGGAGGAGCCAAGATCCCCAAACCACAATCCTGGCAGTGAGAGAGAACCCCCCCCCTTCCCGGCCGCCCCTCCTCTATATGCTGAGCATGACGTTACATGATTTGGATTATTTCACTGCCCAGTTTGGGGCCGGTGCTCTGGCCGTGCTCCCCCCCAGCTTCTTGTGCACCCGCGCAGGGGCAGGACATGGGGAGGTGGAGAGTCCTTGAAATCTCAGCAACAACTGAAAACGTCAGTGTGCTATCAGCGTTCTTCTCATATCACATCCCATACCCAGTCCAAAGCACAGCACTATTCCAGCTCCTGAGAAGAAAAATTAACTCTGTCCCAGACGAAACAAGGACACCAGGTTTTTTGAACGTATGTTGATCATATCATTAGGAGTTCAGAAAAGTTTTCTGCCTGTAGGAAGGATTAGGACTTAGAACACTGACAAGCTCTGAGAAAGCTTTCAGTACAGTCTCTACAGGCTCCTTCCTTAAGCTTGGTGTTAGAGCTGATCACTGTCCCACCTTCTTTAAGAAGAGCATTTCCACTGCTGTGATTTGAGATGAGCTGTTCCACCAGCAATTTCAGTGTGTGTGACCATAGTGAGTCTGTCACGCAGGTCTTGTTCTGCTGCCGTGGCCACACAGGTGATGACTTTCATTAAAGAGAGTGAGGGCGACAACATTATCTTAATCAGACTTAGTGATTAAAGAAAGTGATCCTCACTTTTGTATCCAGCAGATCTTTACATTGTTAGGTCTGTGAGGGAAGCTTAATAGAGCTATGGCACAATTGTTCCTAAACTCCAACACAATTACGTTGTGAAATAACTTCGCACTTTTTGCGGTCAAGATGGACAAAACTACAGGACAGATTCTTCTTTAAAGCAAGTTAACGCAAAAAGCCAAAAGCAAAAACCCTCTATTGCTCTCCTCCTTTATTCCTTTATACTTTTTCTACAGGGTGTACAGACTTCATGTATGTGTTCATACATCACATGTTCACGGAAATGAACCCTGTCCCTTGCCAGGGCAGAGAAGTTAATATGCATGAGCTCATCACACAAGTGTAGTAAGATGAAAAGTTCAAGAGTTCAAGCTCCCAAGATTTCTGGTATCTCTATTCACCTAAAACTAGTTCCAAGTACAGGGTTATCAGTTCTTCTGATGTGTCTCTTTTCTTATTGGTTCAGAGTGGTTATGCTCTCTTACTGCAGTCGATAAGCTTGCTCATCTTGCAGCTCCTCCTGTTCTTGTTTGCTCTCTCAGGGGTAGTTTGGAATCCTTTCAAGGTCAAAGCCGTCCCTCCCCAGGGCCTCAGTCCAGCTGAGGTCCCCCACATGCACTCTGACACAGTAGCAGTCTTGCTCCAAAAGCAGAGTCTCAAGGAAATGCAGAGGAGGAAAACTGTCAAGGAGATTCCCTTTTTTTCCATCAAGTGCTAAGAAGATCTAATGTCATGGTTATCTGTGGGACAGTACTTTGCTGTCAGGAGTTAAGGGGGTTTCAGTGACTTCCATCTGATCCTTCATCATTTGAAAGTGATAAAATGTTATAAACATTTTTGAAGATGCATTTTATCTCACAGCCTCCCACATGGCAAAAAGCCCAAGAAATCTTCCCCTGGAAAATGATCCTGGAAAGAGTCGAAACGCTTATAGACACATGACAAGTGCCCACTGTAATGCTAAAGCAAGGCAATCAAGCTGCTGAAACAAAATTTAAAAGAGAATAATGATTTTATTTAATACCATTTACAGTCCCTAGATGACAGGATGGTAAGCAGAAGGTAATTTAGATCAACAAAGGCCAAATCAGCTAATAAAAAATGAAAAAAAGACAGAATGCTGCTACTTAGCAACATTTCAGAGCAATTTGCAAGAAAGAATAAGAACTCCACTTCCTACGATATGCTGGGATTTGAGTTGTCTAGCGTAAATCATAAAACATACTAGAAATTTCCTGTGTTCTTCTGAATCAAGAAGAGACATATTTTAGGAACCTCTTCTTCCAGCTGCACCATTGTTACTCCACAAAGGATGAACAAGAGGTGCTGGAAGAGATGAGTGTTCCTGTCTATTTTCCTAGATTTGTGGAAATTCTGCCTCTTTTCGGATCTATGAGAAAAATTAAAGAGCATCTTTGCTTGCTCTGAAGAATTTGTTCCACATAGTGAAGCAGAACTGTAAGCTGCAAGACTTCTAAAAGTTGATATGAAATGTACCACCGAGTTTATCTCTTACAGTGTATCTGTAAACTCACATTTGGATGGCCTAAATACCTCCTGAATCTCTCTGTCTAATTATTGTACAGGTTTAACTGTCTCTGACAGTCATTCAGAGATCTGAATGCTTAACGGTCTGCCCCCTACTCATTCACTGAAACTTGGGTGGAATTTTTGCCACCTGAAAATTTTCCCTCATTTTCCTTGGTCCTGTCAGGGTCCTGAAAGCACCAATAGGTGTT